AAAAAACATTTTATTTGTATTGACGAATTGAACAACTGGGTACAATTTTTGGGAAGGCAGGTTTAGCGATTATGGATTATCAATAAAAATAAGTTTAAAAAAAAACGTTATTTGGCAGTCAAAAATGTTTATTGGACTAATGCACATCAAATTATCAGATACTTTATGGAGATTTTCATAATGTGTACAAATTTTGTGTAATTTTTCTTGGGTTCCGTACCAAGATTTTTAATTACGGTACGGGAAGTTCCAGCAATTTGCTTTAAGGCACGATGCCATGCTATCCACTAGTTCTAATAATGTAATCGCAATTATATTAAAATAAAAAAGTTATCAATTTCAAAAATTAGCTGTAGTTGAAGTGGAGGATCTCAAAAACCTTCCCAGTAATCCAAAATGAAAAAAAAAAGATTTTTAATCTAGAATGATGTCGCAATGGTATATAAAAGGATTAAGTTAAAAAGTAAAATTTTGACAAATTGGCAACCGTTTAAAAAAAAGATCATTTTTTTACCACTTTTTCGAGTTTCTCGAATTTTTTAAAAATAGTAAAAATAAAAATTTGGAGACGAGGCTAGTATATGACATGGGAAAGACTATAAAGAAGATTATCTGAATATTTCAATTGTAAATTTTTCAACAGTTTTGATAAAAATGCGTTTAAAGTGTTGCAAAAATAAGGAAACAGAAGTGCATTATCATGGTCAAACATCTGTATCTCCGAAAATAATTTAAATTTTAAAAAATCTTCTCTTACAGTATTCTTAAATTGTTAAACTTTGAAAATATGCAAAACAACAAAAAAGGAATGTTTGAATTTCTACACTAGAATACCCTTTTCGAAGTTTCTATGCATTTATTTTTATGTCTTCTACCTTACTACTATTAACTTTTAATAAATGTACCTACTAATGGTTCATAAAAAATCCTTTTTTCTTATAATTTCCATATGTGTTTATAAGCGTAACGGAATCAATTCGATATATTAAGTAATATGAATCGTCATCGCAATCGTATGACATATATAACGTAATGATTTAATGACAAGGTCATATAAAATACTAGCTCTTCCAACATAATAAATTATGCAATACAGAAATATTCTCTAGATAAAAGGACGATCGTAATAAATAAATCAATATGCCGATATCCTTATGTTACAGATACTAAAAATACAAGATTTGTCGTTCGCCCTTTATACTGCCACTTTTTTTTGTGGCCGCTAAAGTGAAGAAAGCCTTTTACCATAAAGTTGAAGCCATATGTCTGCCATATTTAAACGTGCATTATTGTATTTTTTAAACTTCCAGTTATTTGTTTTTTAATTTCTGCACCGATTTCGTTATTTCAACATCCGCATATTTTTGGCAATATTTAGTAGAATGTCTAAATCGAATGCCAATCTAGTGTTTGGACGTCCGGGTATGACAAAAATAAAATATGATATGAAATAGTAAAATAATTTGAAATTTTCATACTTTTTTATTGTTATTATTAATTTCGACATCATATTTTTTTTTGCTCTATAAATTAGAGATTTGGAAATTAAAAACATAGAAAATTAGAAAATTTACAAGAAAAACATAAAATAACAACTGAGTTACAATCAAAAATTTTAATGCAATACTGAAAAATTCGTTTTATAGATTGCTGCAAATTACTGGACTTTTTTTGTCTTCTCATTTTTTGTGCTGATTGAACTATGTATTGCTGGGTTAATATCGAAATTTAATACATTTTGAAAAGTTAAGCTTTATTTGTACATATTTTTAGATTTTTATGAATTATGTGATTCAATTTAAAAACTTTAGTAAATATATTTATTTATGAGATTTTCATAACAAAAACTGCACCAACAGGGCAAAAATTGAATTTTTCTTAAATTTAACAATTTTAGCTACAAATTATACTAGAAAATTGTTATCGATTTGCTGTTTGTGCTAATAGAGATAAAGAACTTGATCTAACAACTACTGGCTGTCGGTTCGATACCCACCTCAGTCAGCTTGATATCAAGCAATAGTAACTTGATCTACCAACTATTGGTTGTCGGTTCGATGCTCACCTTAGTCAACTTGATATCAAGCAATAGTTATATCGGATTTCTACTAGAGATCTCAAATATGATATCAAGTGAAAATAGCTTTTTGAGATATTGCTCCAAAATAAATAAGTCAAAAATACTAATGAGGTCAAAAAAACTAGAAAGGAGAAAACTACAGGGTTCTAAAAGTCTCTTGTTAAATTAACAAAACTACATTACTAAATGTTCTCATATAACAATAAACAGACTGTAATTTAAATAGAAATTTAAAATTTGCTATAAATTTCACTTTTAGATCATATTAAACAGACAGATTTCAATATCAATTTTAATCAGTTGAAGACAAGTTGGATGATGATACAAAAAACTATATTTTTAAGTGAAAAACGATGCCGCTACTGCCCGAAGTCAGGCTGGCCGAACTTGGAACTTCTGATTGGAAGTCCATAGTAGATGTTTATGTAAATATGATATATTTTTATATCAAATGTTTATAACACTATCTTCCAGATTGGATGATATAAGTGTTATACTTCCAAGTGAAAACTGATGTCACTACTGCTTGACATCAGGCTGTTCGAGTCTGGACCTTCTGATTAAAAGTCCATAGCTCTAACTGCATCTACTTCAAAGTAGATTTTATTGTGAACATAATGGTATATTTTTATATCAGTTAGCGACAAATTGGATGATACAAAGAACTATATTTCCAAGTGAGAAATGATGCCACTACTTCTTGACATTACTATCGCACCTGGAACTTCTGATTAGAAGTCCACAGCTCTAACTCTATCTACTCTGAAGTAGATTTTAGTGTAAACATGATATATTTCGTATATCAATTCTAATCAATTGGATGATGATACAAAGTATGATTTTTCATTAAAATATCATTCAGCATCGCAATAATAACAATAAGCAACAATAGGTGAAAGTGTGCGTTCAAGATATGTGAGTTCTGTTTGTCGTGTGTGGAGTCGATAATAAAACTGCAGTGGCGAGTAGAAAACGCACTCTGTTCTTGAAATTCTCTGAACTTGCTCAGCTGTGAACATAATTAGCAATTTTAATATAATTGCTGATTGAATTATTTAGATACGATAAAGAACAAATTGCGCATTAACACAAATCATTTTTGTCTAGGAATAAAGAATTATTGAAACGACTCTAACGATTTTTAGTATTGAAAAAATCATGCATGTATGTGAAGAGTTTATGTTCTACTTCATCATTTTTCTTTTGCCAATTGACATATATACTAACTTTTTTTTTTTTCTTTTTTTGCAGTTCCTTACAAGATGTCTATGACGAGCATTCAGACACCTATGACAGAACTTGGGTAAGTGGAAATCTATTAATAACTATTTTTTTCGACTTTTTTTTTGAATTACAATATCTGTTACAACTGCTAAATAATATAACATCTAGTAACATAAGTGAATAATACCATAAATATAAATAAAATAGAGTACAAAATAAAGGATAGTATTATGATGATTTAATATAAAATGAAAACAAATAATGGTAATAAAATTAATAAATAAAATTTGTGAATAATAAAAGTAATACTAGAATTAATAACTAATTGATTAATGTAGTTGTAACTGCCTTTAAAACTATTACAGGGTTCCAATTTTACTCTAAGTAATTGTATTATTTGAACCAAATGTACTAAATTACAACACATAACGAATCAAACAAGCAACCATGAAACTATGTTCAGTAAAGCTTCCAATTAATTCCTAATTATAGAAATGTAGTTTTTTATTGTTTTTCTGAAAATTTGTCAACTGTCCCTTTTTATTCCATAGGTTAGGTAAAAAGAGACAGCCAGGGAGCCAACAGATCCAATGTTTTAATCTTGATATGAAAAGAATTTTACGAAATCCTAGTTACATTTTCAACCAATTCAAAACATATATATTTTTTTAAATAGGCACATTTTTAGCAAAGGGTAACACTGGATATAATCTTGATCTAGTATTTTGTCAGAAATATTCATATAGTCGCCCCGTCCATTAATCACGTGAGGTTTTTAGGGGTAGGGGGGGTTTGACAAAAAATCACGAAATATCACTTAGGAGAGAGAGGGTTGCAGCAAGATACCACGTGTATTTATTTTTTACCTGAATTTAAAAAATCCAAAATTTTTCAAAATTATTCAAAAAATATACGATTTTCATATAGGTACGAAAAAATATATGTTAGAATACGAAAAAAATTCAAGCCCCCGCTCTTTCCTACTACAAATGTGCAAAGAAGGAAATTTTTTCAGTTTTTTTTCGCTGGCGCGTGCTCGACATTTTATTCTATTTAGATTTAGAATATAATAAATATATGTAACATATAAAATGTCGCTTCTTCAACCTACATACTTTTATTTGATCCTACAAAATTAATATAAATTGTTAAATGCGAAAGGTTATGTGAAATCCTACCCACAGAGATGCGCAAATAGTAGACATGAAATAGATATTGTGGAGGTTTCTCTGGATAATTGTAACCTTCATTTAAAAACATTTATTAAGGTTTTGAATTGAAAATTGAAAGGGATTACATTATAATAGATATTCCTTACGAACAATTTATTACGTACGAGTATTATATAAAACAAATACAAAAATAATACAAAAGTAAAGATAAGAAAAATAATACAAAAGTTACTAAATGAAATTAGTGCATAAATTTCCTTAGTGGGCTGGGCTTTCTAGTATATGACTGGCTAAATTGTTAGGGTGGACGTCGATTCTGCTTTATAATGATCCAACATTATTTATATTTTCTATCCATATAAGTTATTACCTTCGATTATAAATTTCTTTTTCAGTTTAAAAACTTTTTTGACTATGCGGAAAAAATGTGCATTTATTTTATTTATTACTATTATTAATTTTATACCTAATTTCTCTGTCTTTTTCCCAGGTCCAATATTGGCCGCTCGATGTCCGTGTCGTCGGCTCTATCCGAGATGTGCCGCATCGATTATTCGACCATCAACAACCAGCATCATCGTAAATATTCGCAGCAGCAGGCCGGTTTGTCTGGTGGAGCAGGAAATAATTCTGCAGGCAACATCCTGACAATCGAAGAGCTCAGAACTCAATTGGTCTCTTGTTTCACTTGCGGCGTTTCTTGGGCCGATCAGCAGGTAGGATAATTATTGACATATGATAGATAGTTGGTAAAGATGATAGACATGTCATATGTTGGTAAATAGTTGACATATGATTAATAAATGGTAGTCTGCCCGAGGCAGGTCTATGGTGTGAGAGCCACCACAAAATTAATGATATCCTTTCCCTTCCTCGTCTATCATTACCATTACTGGTATTACTCTTTTTCATGTATTTTCCTTTCAAAATTTCTGTTTCCATGCTTCCTAATACTGTGCTTTGACTTGCAGTTCCTTGTATTTTCTCTTCTCGCGTAAGTCATCAACCATCTGCATTCTTCTTCTTTCCAATCTTTTAAGTGCTTATATTTTACCCTCGACGACGTCATGCAGGAGGCACTCTTCTTGCAGAATGAGCCCAGTTTCCTTTTCTTTTCAGGATCATGATCAGTAATTTTTTTTTTCGCCCACTCTTTTCAGAACTTTTTGTTTGTTACATTATATGTCAACTTAATCTTCTCCATTCGTCTCCTGCATCACATTTTAAAACTCTTCAGGAAGTTTTTGGTGGACTCCCTTACAGTCTTCAACTCTGATCCGGATGGTCGAATAGAAAATATTTTAAATTGAAATTTGTTTGTAGGAAAATATTGAACACTTTCGTTTGCATTTTAGCTGTGCACTATATTATCTATTTTCTTTAAAATTGTATGTTTTACCCACGTGGATTTTCATTAAATCCATCTCTATCTTTCCAATTGTTTAATCTGGTTTAGATCAAGTATAAGCAACTTGCACACATGTGGAGTTCTATATAATTTATTGACTTATGAATTATTAATTAGTCGGGTTTTGCTAAACAGAGATTACATAGTTGCAAGTGAAATACCACATCACATATTAAATTCTATTTTTACATCTTTTTATTATATTCGTTATACTCTGAGTCGTTATGTTGCAAATATAGAATAATGAATATTGGTAGTTTGCTCTTAAGTAGAGATTTCTTTAAAATGTGCTGTTTAAAGAACTTGTCAAACAAGGACAAATGTCTACTGAGGTTCTAGGTTTGCGACCACAAGGATCTAGATTTGATATCTACTTCGATCAGCCAGGCTGATATCCGATTTCACATATTTGTCTAAAATATGATTTCAAGTAAAAATAGCCCTTTCTCGGTATTGCTGTGTCAAATTAAAAATCACAGAGAAAGGGCTATAAGTTAAGAAAGTATCACATACCTTTTGGACACCCGTTGGCTTGACTTCTAAAAATCGACGTGGATAAGGACCAGTTCAATAGCAACAACCTATACAACTATTGTTCTGATTCTTGTTCCAAAATTAAGACAAAATTAATTTAACTTATTAATTATCCTTATTTTATATTTCAGGTTTCGCTGGATTGCTCCGAATGCGGAGGCTATGCTCTCGAGAGACCCTGCCCTCTTTGTGATGGCAAATGTGGCTCTCAACCTTGGCGCAGAGATTTCACCATGGTAATTTTTTTTTTAATTATTGATCATCAATTATTAAAGTCTTTTTCACGCTCATATAATTTATGCTCTGTCGGAAAATGATTACTTTTCGAGTCATCTAACATTTTCCAATGTTTTTTACTTATTTCATCTAGGATTTGGTGACTGGATGTTGGACAGGTTTTTGGAAATTGATTTGTATTTCGAATACTAATTAGATTTTGCGGCAGATGACTGATTTTATTTTTGTACTTTAATCTAAACTTCTGTTCTAAAATGATAATTCATTCTGAACTATAAACCATGTACCGTTTTTGCGATAAAATCATCGCTAACTTCTTATCAATGAAAATGACGCGCGCGATTTTGTCTTTTTTCTGATCAGCAATGCATTTTGTAATTTCATAATCATTATCTAATAAAAATGTTATCGTTTCATGTATCCTAAATTGTTTGACAACAAATTTCGATCTATCAGCAGATATGGTTTAATTTTTATTGTTTTAGCAAGATTATAAAACAAATTAGTTTTATAATATTCGAATCGATAATGAATGTAGTTGCTAGGGAATTTGTATTTGTGAAGCGCCTTATGTTGAAATTTTACTAATTTATGAAATATTTGTTATTTATAAAATATTTATTTATATGGCGTAAAAAGTATTACACTAAAAGAGACGTAATACTCGAGTTCAATAACTTGAAAGACATATTGAAAGTTTTAAGAGAAAGTAATCATGAAATTATATTTTAGCCTCTGGAGTTACAAAATTACCTAAAAATATTTTTCTCGGTCATTCCGGAAATTAGTTGATTAGAAATATATTATACAAAATAAATTGTTAATAATAATAATAATAATAAAATATATTAATTAGCAATTCTTGTATAAGATTGTTTTTAATATATAAGTTGGCATTGCTTTTGAGCCCGACATAGTAACGTAGGCGAGCACAAAGTAGACCCGGGGTCTATTTCAACCTAGGACAGTTTGATATCAAGCAGTATGATATCAAATTTTTACTTCAGGTTATTGTTCTCTAATATAATCTTAATTGAAAATTGCCTTTCGTGGGCATTGCTGCAACATGTATACGCCAACACTAATATATATACGTTTATCTACACATAGGGTGGTTGACCACTGGGTTGCCTTTTTGACAAAAATAATAGAGTAGGGTGTACGATAGCCAACACAGTTTACAGAACTTGTAGTTCTGAACGTTTTTTCAAAGATGTTAAAGATTTATCTTTATTATTGCTCTTCAATAGAATTAGTTAAAATTGAGAAAAATGTCTTGCAATCGATAAATATTTTTTGCATATACTTTCTCAGTGGATAGCTCACAACCTCGACTACACGAGTCCGTGAGCTTAACCGTTACACACCATGGAACATCCTTTTGAGGATATGCCGAAATAAAATAAATAATGACAAACTGGTATTTTACCTTGAAACATTTTACCTCGATTAGGACAATACAAAACTGTGCACACGGTCTAATGAGAGCGCCACAGTTAACTGGTTTAGTTAGAATTGTTAGTTTCTTACGTTCAGTTTAATTAATTTTAACTAAATATAACTATTTTTGCACACTTTTACAAATGGTTTTGCATGTCGGGCGACTACTTTATATTTACTCGTTCAACTTTACTGAAGGTGTACCTGCAGATATATGAAATCTGGGCTTCATTTTACCTGTACACTGTTGCATTTTTATCTGGCATTGGGACAGTATTTGCTCTACTTTATTTTTTATTTACTACTCTTACTTATGGACCGATTCTGCCGAATAACAGACCCATGTTATGGCAAGGCTATGTTATGAAGAACTTTCTATGCTAATTCGATCTAAATATTGGCAAAAGCCATGTGGTTGCTGTGCAGTCAGGCGTTTTTCTCAGGTTGTCAGATACAAAACTTAACCTAGAAACTGCACAAATGTCAAAAAACGATATTAGATTACAGGGTATTTCTGACGCAGGTTTATAACATACGAGTGACGTTGCAGTTTATGTGTAAAACGCCTGAATGCTCAGCAAATACATGACATTTTGACAGTATTTAGTATGATTCAGTAGCATAATATATGGAAGTTGGAGCGTATCGTAGCCTTGCCATAACATTTTTCTGTTTTGCGGCAGAATCGGACTATTAATTAAACTTTGGGTCTGATTGTAGGTACGCTTTTACGTTTACATGCCGTTCATCTATCATCTATCAACTATCACCTATCTCATCTATCATCTATCATCTATCATTTGTCATCTATCATCTATCATTTCCCTTCTATTTCTATTTTCCAACTCTGTGCCGTCTTTTTCAGTCTCATGCATGCAGCAAGGCCCGCTGGGAGGGGCAGTGCTCCTTAGAAGTTCCAAAACCCGCCGCCGCCGCCGCTGAAACCGCATCTTCCGGTCCAGAGACCGCCGAAAGCGGAGATTCACGATCCGCTTCCGTGACCGATTCGAAAACATCCGCTGGAGCGTCGGAATTACCCGAACTGTGCTCGAAACTAGAGAAACTTGAGACGTGACGTCATATGTCGTTTTAAACTTCGACACGTGTCAGCGCTGACATATGGTAGGAATGACATGACATGACATGGAGTGAAGTTGGAAGTATTGACATGTGTCGGTTGTGATTTGAATTGGGTTATATCGAAGTATTGAACCACGCGAATTTTGAATAAGTCTTGTGCTCATGTCTAAAAAGCAATCTTTTTCTATTTTATTTAATCATATATACACACACTGACACACACATATATATATATATATATATATATATATATAGGTAGAAGTTAGGGCGGGTCAAATTATATGGGACCGAAAAAATGCACAAGGGGGCACATTGAAATTCTATGGGTCATCTAAAAAAATTATGCCGATGATATTATTTTAAATTACAAGAAATAATTATTTAATTATAAGAATAAATTAAGTTTTGAACAATAGGTTACGTAAGCCTGCAGCAGTGATTTCCAAACTTTTTGCACCTGCGTCTCTCCGTTGTTTTTTTTGTTGAAATTGTTTTATCCCCATATTTTTTTAACAATCCATATTAATTAACAATCGAATATTCAACTAATATTAGGTTGTCAAATATCTCCCTTCCGCTTTTTTGCTCTTGGTTTATAATACAAAAAGGCGGAAGGGAGATATTTGACAACCTTATATTATAATTTTTTATCCGGTTACATAATTAAATGTACCACAATATGTATTTATTTGGTTTCTTCAGCAAAGTTTTCTTAAAATAACTCATACAACCAAATCACAGTGTCCCAAAGACCAAAAAATTGGACCCACTCTAATATGTATATTTTTTATCAATTCATAATCCATTACATCGGTTCAGTATTAGCTGCCACCATTGACATCAGGCACCAAAGATATATCTCAATTACCATTGACACATGTCAGTTCTGACACAAAAATGTATGTCATGAATGTTAGTGCTGACCTGTCGGGAGCACTTACTTTATTTCGTTTTTTAGCGTATATTCTCACTCACATCCATATTTAATATATTATTCGGGATTATAATATGTTTGTTAGAATGTTGGATCTATAATTAGTATGTTATATTAACTTTCCAACAGGCGTATTAACAAGATGCTTGAATGCTCCTTGGCAAATTGTAAAAAAAACAGTTTTTGTTTTTCAAGGTTATGAATAATTTAATAACATTTATTTATCTATATTGGAAATGTTTGTTTCCATTTTTTAGATACTGACATATGTTTTTGCAAAGCTAAGTTATGCAGACTTCATTTTGAATAATTTCGATTAATATATTATAAGAGAGTAACAATTTTATTTTGGGTATTTTTCTAAATGTACCTATTTAATTCGACTTATTTCCTAGAATATATATAATTAGTTGATACTTTAATAACTGTTAATAATTTTTTTTCGTTGAGGGGCATGACAGTATCAGGAATCTCGAAAAAGGCATGCGTACATATTAAATTAAATTAAATTTAGCTAAAATTATATTAGCGATTGTTTAGATTATTTGTTTTTAACAAAATGAAATTGGATCACATTAAAATTAGTATTTTTGACAAAAAATATTAGGTAAAATTTGCAACTAGATAAAGTATCTTAAAATTGTTATATAGTATTGTATATAATTTGATGTCATTCTGTAAGAGGGGGAGGTTTTTGCTTTGAGCAGCTGGTAGAGATTTTAGTTAATTATTTAATGAATGATATATACATTTTTTGGATAATTACACTAATTTTATAATGGTCGCTGATGAACCTTACAGATGCTCATAAAAATAAATATGGATATTAGGTGCTGAAATAACCATACCTTTTCATAAATTTAAACAATTTTAGATACAACAATTTAAGCTCAAATTAATTCTAATATTTAGTTAAATTTACCAAAAACAACTTCAACCAAAAATAATTAGTTATTATATCCGGACTCTACTAGAGTTATCTTATGTATCATTTCATTGAATTTTGAGTTTTTGGAAAATATCTTTAAATTGAGTTATTGGAAATTTGTGCAGTAAGTTTTAATGGCACTGTGAATCCTCCGAAAATTTAATTAAATCGCACTTATTTAATTTTTTTTTAAAATTATTTACACAATTTTTTGATAATTACACTTTGTAGTTTTAGATAGTTAATAGACTGCAATAGATATTGTATTGCATTAAAGAGTTGCAACTGCTAAATATTTATTTTCAATATATAAATATTTATTGTTATTTGTAACCAATAAATATTTTTTTGAACTAAATTGGTGACCCGGAAGTTTCACATCCAAGCTTCTGAACCAATTTAGTAGATTTGTACCACTGTATTAAAAATATGATTGGTTACAAATAATGAGATGTCATGACTATTTTTTTAATGTATCAATCAGTAAGTGTCCAATAGTAATTATTATTTTTTAGAAGTTTTAACTTTTTATTGCAACAACAATTTAAGTTCACATAATTTATAATATTTTCTTAAGTACGAGTTCAAATTCACTAAAACCTGATACAACCAAAAATAATCGTCCGTCGTTATATCCGGACACTACTATAACCATCCTCATTGAGAGTCCTGGCTTATTTCCTCTACCAGCTGTTTATTCCAAAAACGCATTACATCCAAAATATGATTATTATTTCAAATCAAAAGACTGCTCTAATCTGATGACAAGGAAATTGCTATTTTAATATTTCTTTACTTTTAGGAGAATTCGTATATGTATAATTTTAGTCTAAAAAACCGTATAAATATAATAAAACTGAAATCGTTTTGCGAACGTTTGTGATATATTGGCAGGAAATGTTTGTGCTGTTTTTGTTACAGGGTGTGTAGACCAGTTTAAAATGTGACGTTACAGATTGTCAAAAATATTGTTAATAGATAAAAGATACATTTTAAAAAGTGAGAGCAACGTGGCCTAAGTAATGGATTTATTGATTTGTTCCTAGAATCGAAACTTTCGGTTAAAAAAAAAAAATCCAGATGACATCCTTGGGTGCTCATCTTTTCGTCATTCCTTTACAACACTATACCTTACATTTTTTTAACCCTTTCAACTTGGATGCCACCGCTCCGGCGGCAAAATTCATATAAATCTCCGAATTAGCGAGTGGAAAGAGTTAATATTTATTCTTTAAATTTAAAAGAATATTTTTTGTTTTTTTTTCTTACTTGGAATTCATTAAACTGGTTACACTATTATTGCTCTTACTGTGTCATACATTTACCACTAGTTTGTTTCAAGACAATAAATAATAATATGCTTAAAGCTCGATTTTGTACCAACAATAATATTACCCTCTTGAGTCATTTTTTTACATCACAGCAAAATTAGACAATATTTTTACGCTGTTTATCACCTTTTTAAGGTCTACACAATAACATATAATATTATAAATAAAAATTCATATATATAAATGTGTATATTTATAAACGCCAGCTGAAAAAAATGCATACGGGAACAGATTTTAATTCCAAAGTTTTAAATAAATAAGTAAAATTAAAATACATGGCTTTTTTAGTATTATAATGTTTAAATATTAAAGTATTATTATCAATAAAATAAATAAATTGTTTTTTTGGATTAGAAATTTATTATTGATGAACTAAGAATAAATTAAATTTTCAATCCGTGTGCCTTTTTTAAGGAGGCTGGTGCAATCAATGTTTTTATACATATGTATCTTTGTATAAAAAATTTTATACATTTTAGTTTTTAAGGTGCTGCATACAAATGATATTTTTATTGGAACATGACTAAAAAATAGCAATAAAAAATTATTTTTTATTTCATTATATTGATAAAAATAGTATGGGAACTTGAAAAAGGATAGAATTTCATGTAGTATGATTTTTTATCTTTAGTGGCTGATTATTTTTTACATTTTCAAACATAATGTTAAATCATTTTAATTTTTTGTATGACCAAAAGGATTATCGGAATTAATAATTTTATTGTTTAAGTTCATTGAAAGTTTATTATTAGGTCATAACTATTAAAACATCATCTAGTATTTATACAATAGTTTTGTTTGTGATTCTGGATTAAATTCTAGATCTGGATTACATTTCTAGATGAATATATGCATCTAAACATGTGTGCAAATATATTTTTAGCAGAATCTTAAATAATTTTACAAGGCTGATTTAGTTAAATTCCACAAGTTATTTATAAAAAAAAAATTAGTATACAAAACCTATTTTCTAATACTTTCAATTTGTTTTATTAATGTTGAGGAAACTTTTTTTGGATTTGCTCAGTTTTTTAATATAAATATCATATATAAATTGCTAACGCACATTTGAAATAATTCGGCAGTTCCCATGCTAATTTTATCACCATAATCATTTTCAATCATTAGAGAGTAGATAAAATTATTTATCAAAAATGACAGAATTTTTTCCAAAGTTTTATACAAATGGAATAATTTATATATATATATATATATATATATATATATATATATATATATATATATATATAATATATAATTTAATTCCATTCCTACAATGTAAGAAAAAGTGTGATTCTTAACAGTTTTCTCAACTGAAAATTTGTACCAAGTGACCATTTATGCCAAATTTGAATCGAAGTGTTTTTTAAGCAAAAAGTTATTTAATGAAGAAATTTTAAATGAAATTTTTTAGTAAATTATTAAGTCTTAGAAAATAAATGGAAAGTGTTAAGATATTGATGATTTAGGATATGTGATGTTGATAGATTTTGAAGGGACATATATATTATTAACAGATCATTTCTATAATAACTTACAAATATTTTAAATTAATTATTATATAAAATTAAATATTGGTGAAGCCATACGACTGATTTAATTTAAATTTATTACTTGCTTTAATTTTTATATATAATAGTTGATAAATTTTCTCTATTCAGAAGTGTTTGTTAATTCTAAAGTAAATTGAATATCAAATAAAAAACAATAATTAAATATTTTTTTAAAGTAATTTAAATATTAAATAACTTTCCAAATAAGATGTATATGTCCTTTCGAGGTCTATAAGTATATTTTTAAATTATTTTGGATGTTATTTTATACGGAACTGACAAAATGTTTTTCACATCAAAGATATTCTAGTTGCTTTTCAAATCGGCTGTAGATTATAATATTATTGAGTTGCTTAGACCGAAGGCAGTTGATTGAATATTTGTTTATTTTTATATTGTTTTTTATTTATATTAAATAAAATGATTTTATAAGAATTAGTTAGTTTTTAAGAGGTTACAA